ATCCACAGACAGACATTTCAGCTTGACAATTTCTCCTACAGGGCACTCTTTGTTGCTTTCCTCATTCCAGAGTTTAACTTCCACCACATTTCCGTCTTCTTCAATTGAAATGATCTTTCTTTTGCTGACTTCGGTTTCCAGCAGTGGTGACACCTGAAATGATAAGATGAAGTCCATATGGGAACATATGATCACTTTCGTTAAATTGAAAATATAAATAAATTAAATGCTTTGTTTGAAGTTTTTTATGTATAGCTTTGGACATTTTATGTATAACTTTATTCTTGCTGATCTTGCAGTATATTTTGCTCCCGCCCCACCCCAACCTCATGAGCTATGCTGTAAAAATGAAAATATTAGACTAAATGTTTTTTATGTATAGCTTTGGACATTTTATGTATAACTTTATTCTTGCTGATCTTGCAGTATATTTTGCTCCCGCCCCACCACAACCTCATGAGCTATGCTGTAAAAATGAAAATATTAGACTAAATGTTAAATCAAAGGGAAACTATTGTGGCGCATTGCCATGCCCTTTTCTTCAGTGCCATTTTTGTTTCACCTGTGTCGTACCTTTTTTGTTTTTCAAAGCAAAAAATGAAAGCTGACTAACTTCTTTTTTTATTCAGTGCATGTTACTTATCTTTTATTTAATGCATGAGATGGTATTTATTCAGGGTGTCAAGTGTACCGGACCACAGGATACTACTTCTTGCTTGAATGCACACAGCTGATAAGATAACTATCCCCAAGTGGTTACGAAGATTTTGGTAAATAAACAGGGCAGACCCCTTGATTTTGCAACCACATCTACTCCTTAAGGGTTACCAGTGTACCACCTTTGATAAGTTCTCAAGATTTTAAGCAAACAATATCTTTTTATGTTCAATGTATTTTGAACCTTGACTTTGTGACCTCATCATAGCTACTTCTTTTGAGGGTACTACTGTCCCAAGTTGATGTCTGGTCTTGGTGTAATGACATACTGACAGATGCAAACCAATATGCCCCTTTTTTCAGTGGGAGGCATAAAGTTTAAGCACAGTATCTTTAAGATTTTGCAAGAATTTTCTTCAATATTTTTATTAATCAATATTAAAGCACATGCTTTGTTTTTCTTAGTATGTAAAGGACTACAAATTAAAACTTAAATGTCAAGTTGTATTAGATGTAGTTTCATGGGGGCGTGGAAATCGGAGGCAAGGAGCACTCAATTTCTACACCCCATGAAACTGTATATCCAGGAATACAAGACTTTTATGATGTAAACAGTTGGTCACATACCTGACAAGACGCGTCAGAGTTACAAATATTTGGTTACATTTAGTCATTTCAGAAGTTGCAAGAAAACATGTTGAACCTATTTTAATTGAAGGATTTTAGTTTAGAAATGTAATAACATAACAAGCATAAGAGGGTTATGTATTTTTTGTGTGTGCAATATTGCATTGCCAATATAATTGTTAATCCCTGTAAATGAGGAAAGAAAAGACATATTATTTTCTATATTTATAATTTTATATCTGTGCATAAAAATATTTGCATGAAGTGGTTAAATGCACTAAGAATATTCTATTTATCACACTGTGTTTTCCATTTCTATTATGATTTGGCATAACGGTTCAAGGGAAGATTCAAGAAGATGAAATATTTATAAAGTTTACAGTCAACACATGATAACCAGTAAGCTGACAGATGTGACTGACTGCTTATGTTGACTTGGTGCAAGGCAAAGTGATTGCAGTCTCTTCAATGTTAGATCTTTCACAAATTTATGTGTAAAAAGATATAGGATTCTTCCTCCCAGACTTATCAGTTTTACCAAATCAACTGCACTGAGGAGCCAATGAGATTTCTTAGAGGTCACATATTAGTTAGTGGTTATAGGTTTCTCTAAGTGTACAGATGTGAAATTCTTTTTGTGTTTTACTAAGTTTACATTCTAAAATCCAACCTCTGTATGTCCATGTGTACCAATAAATTCTCAACTTCTAATCAGTACATTAACATATATGTAACAATTTTTTTGTCATTTTGTTAGGATGGGGAAGGTGTTTTCACACAACTCTTTCATGTATGATGCAGTTTAAATACATACCTTCGTCACAGTTCCTTTAATTGACACCCTGTCGCCCTTTTTCAGGGCTGTCAGTTCTGCTACCTTAACCAGCTGTGGATTTTTCCACTGGGTGACAACCGATTGGTTAATTGTGGGCCTGGCTGTGTCCATAGCTCCATTTTCAAAATTTTATTCATAACAGAAATCGAAAACGAGGCTAAGGTCGGTAAAATTGTAAACAAAATGAGGAGGAAGGGAAGGGTCACGACAAGCACTGCTGTTGCCATTCTGTAATTGGAAATGGCATTACCCAGATTTATTTTCACCGGATACCAAAGGCTCCATAACCCTGGTCCTCTGTTTAAAATTGGCATTTATATGTTTGAAATTTTCATGATTGAAACAGATATATATTAATTTGTTAAGATATGTATTTTCATATATTTGAGAATATATAGTGGAATGACATACTTTATGCAATAACAGAAATGTCATCATGCAGCAATCGAGTAGACTAGCTAATGCAAGTCAAGCTGTTTATTCAACAATGTCACTAAACCTTTTAGCATAACTTTCTGTAATCATAATAAAAATGTTAAATCTAGTATTCGTTAGTAGATAAATATTAAATAATTTTACATGTGAAGATTGGTAAGTCTTAACTTGAAATCACATAACTAGGATTTGGCACTTGTATTTACAGTATCTTACTGTTAGCAAGTATCATTAACCAGTTCACCATCTGCATCTTTTAATTTATATTCTTAAAGTTATTTATGCTCCAAAATGCTTTGCTTCAGGTCATGCAAGTAATATTTCAGTGTAAAATTCTTCATAATTATTCAGATAAGTGATGAAACAGTTGTCTGCTCTCGCCATTTTAAAAAGGAAGATAAAACTCCAAACAATGATAATGTTATCTCCTGGAAATACCAACATATAATACCCTTGACCTAAGCAAATTATGAGGATTCAAGTGTGAGACTGAGGAAAATTCCATTGTTAATTGAGGATGGGTAATTTTCATAGAATTTTTCAAGAGTAGCTAAAAAAAGACTTGATATTAATCTTGTATATGTAAAATAAAATATTATTTATGAAATATATATATATAAATTATGTAAAAAGTACATTTCTAATTTTGGTCAGATTTTTTGTGAACGTACTACAGGTCAACAAACAAAAACCATTACATGACTAGGTAAACACAATTTTAATACATTTTATTGAAATTTCTAATACTTTTGATGTTGTTATAATATTTATTTGTGTACAACAAGATGGTTTAATTAATTTTCAGTTTTGCATAAGGTGACTACCTTTAAAAATACTGATGGAATATAGACTTAAATCAGTTTGAATTTTTCAGGAGATGTATCTAAAGTCAAATTTTACATGAATCATTCTCAGAAAAGTTATTCTTATTGTCAAACTGAACTTGATATATCAGTTTGCAAAAATCAACTTTTTTGAATTTAACACTGCTGCTGGACAGTAGGTGCTTCCATGTCATTAAGGTATGATTTTTTTTCATGTATAATTAATTCTTGCAAATGTTTAAAAAAGATTTTGATTTTTTTTCCTCCTGATGAGATACATGAGAAGAGTGAAACCATTAATTACAAAATTTGTTGCAGAAGAGGGATATCCTACAACAGAAGATTGAGGTTGAACGATTTGGAATTCAGCGGTTTTCAAATGACATTCAATGATTCAATTTTACATCACAATGGCTATGTTTTTAGCTTTTTTTGAATACATCAAACCTACTGCAACATGTATGAAAAGCTATTTTCTGTAAATGAGGCAAACAAAGAAGCATGTTGTTAATTTTTTTTCATTTCTTATGCAGGTTGAAGTGTGGTCTAAATACATCAGATTCAATTGTCATGTTTCTATGTTAGTATCATAACATGGGCAAATTATTTTATTTTAGGCAGCATAAGTATCTGGCCTAGTAAGGAACACATTTATGAAAAAAGCCCCAGTCCTTCAAGTTGTTTCTCAACTAAGTCATAATTGACTGCACAGAGATTTGTCCATCATAGCATCAAAATGTTATTCAACATATAAGAGTTCACACACATGGAAAGGGCTGTAGGAATCGCTCCTCATGGAGCTCTCACTTTTGTGTCCTCATTATACACATTGCATGTCAGATGTTATCTTACATGATCTTATGGAAGAAAAATTATGGCTGACAAAGGGTTTGTTGAACAAATAAGGTTATTCTTAGCCAACACAAGCAGGAATAGAACAAACACAAATTATTGCAAAGCTAAGAATACACATTGAAAATATTCGTAGGGTCAAAGAATATCTCTTTGATGGTGTCATCCCATTGAGTATACTGGTACTATAAATCAGATTTGGACTGTTGCTAATATGCTGACTCTGTTCAGAGGTCCTCTTGTAAAAGATTGGTGTAAATGAAAAATTTTATCAATGTGAATACAGGACATATATTTACTCAATTTTGAGTTCAGGGTGTAAGCTGCTATGGTATTTATGATGTCAACTAGTAATTAAATTCTTACAATGACTGTTTTTATTGTTGATTAATCTGATTTCGGCTGAACACTGTAGATTGGTTATTTTTCTCAAATAATTTTTTACTTCTTGTGATAAAGGGTTTTATATATACCGGTACATAACATATCCTCTATTTTTCAGTTTTTATTCAGTAAGCCATATTGGCCCTCTGTTTTTAATATAGCTGTACAGTAAAACATACTTATAACAAAATTCCAGGGACAAATTTGTTTCAAATTTATAATATTTGTCAGTATGTAAACTATGTTTCAAAACCAAAGGGAAAAGAAATCAATTTGCTGTATGTGTGAATTCATTAGTCATCATTTTATTAAAAGTGTATTTGCTATAAGTTTGTTTTACTGTGCATGATAAAAAGTATTTTAAAAATAAGTTTCAAAGATTGTTTTTATTCAAGGAAATAGTTAAAATAGAATGAATCAATCTTGTTTTTCATTTCCTGCCACTCTTCATTATCAAAGGTAATCACCTCCAAATGGCTCTCGTCACAGTGCCACACAAAGAAATAACACCAGGTAAGACCTGTCACGGCAAGCTGCATCATAACTTGGTGGTAGTAGTTATGGTTTTCCTTCAGTCTCCATATATCCCCATCCTTCTTCAAATAAACACACTCTGTTAAGGGTTTTACAGGGCACTTTATCTCCAGCAAACCATAAGGGGGGTTCATAGTTGGGTTGTATACCTTCCTGTCTGGGCTAGCAGCAAGCCAGGAAGCATAAGGACTGACAATGATTCCACAAGGGTATATGTTGACATTGTTGTTTTGCAACTGCAATTTAAGAAAAAATTAATAAGATTTTAAAGATATGATATAAACAAAATACATCATACATGAATCTAACATCAGTCATGCATAAATTGTGTTACATGTCCAGAATCTTGTGAACATGTATACTAGTGATTGTATTATGCTACATCTTTGATAGATAGATTAACATTACTTACTTGTACAAAGGCTTCAGCAGCAACTGCCTCGAACGACAATCCATGTCGCATACTCTCTGTGACGACTTTTCTTGTTGTCTTCAATCTTTTAATCAAAGGTCCAAAATCTATAAACAGAGTACATGTATATACAATAATTTCAGCTTACAAATTAAGATTTATATTTGTGCAAAGAAAATTCATTTTCATATGAAATATGTTGGAAATACACGTTTATGTAAATTTAAATTGATGCAAATATATATCAAATATTGAAAATGGTTTTGAATGAGGTAATGTCTGCATAAACCATGATAAGATTTTGTAAGGTAACACCTTACCTGCTCTACGCTTCACAATATGAACAGATGCAGTTATCCTCTTCTTGCGAATAGCATGCCACTTGGGACTTTCTCCTTGCAACCTTGTCATTTCCTCAATTTTATGGCACTTCTGTCACATATATAGCAGACAAACTACCACTTTTCTTTTCATCAAGAATCACATGCAGTTGTTGTTGCATAACATTTTCAACAGGAAGAAGTGGAAATTCACCAGCATCTAAAATATTTAATACATAATGGGATGACAGTTTTTGTTGCACAGCAAGTGGAGATCCTTTTGGAAATTTACCAAACTTTGTTTCTGTATATTTCAAGTCCACTTTGTCATCCAAATTCACAACAGTAAGTAATAAAGAAGTCTTGTCAACTGCTGAAATTGGAACAAAGGTTCAGTGAGATATCAGAATTGATTGGATTGTACAAAGTTGATCGTAATCCAATTCTTGAGGTAATTTGGAATCGTAACCATGTACAACCACGTTGTCCGCAGTGCTTCCAGAGATCGTGGGAGATGCCAGGTCTGAGGCAGAGAAGTCTTCAAAACATCAGATGGTATGAATGTCATGTTAACTGATTTCATGTGCGCAAGACAAAATAACAGCCCAGTCACATGCCCGCAGTGTCCTGACTGTCCAATTGTACACGAACAAGAGCTGCTGTCCACACTGGGACCATCCAGCAGAAAAATCTATAAAATGTACCACAGCTTGTTGAACAAAACTGATAACTCATGCATAGAAAAAGTAGATGCAAAGCATTGTTATCTGTCACTAAATTTACAAATCTTGATATCAGTTTTTTTTTTAATTAGACTTACTAATTATACATGTAATTAAACATCTTACTGATCTAAACTAATTTTTTTTTCTTACCACAATATCAAGAGGGGATTCATTCCTGCGCTGTGACCTGTGGCATTTTCCTTTAACTACACAACCGTTTACTGCACTGTGAACTAAATTAATTTAGGAAAATGAATAACTTTGTTGACTTATTAGTTTATGATGATTATTATTCATAAATATAATTTAAACGCATCTTTTTTCCCCTTCATTGTGTGTATAGATTTTTACACTTGACCATCGTACATATCATGATCATAAGCAAAGTGAAAGTTCAAACGGAGATAATACGTACTTGTGATGTTTGTTACATATCTCTCGGCGAAATATTTATATCCTTTAGATATTTCTTTTTCTCCGAGACTCTGACTTCCTTTCTTTATGTAGCAATCCAAAGGTAATATTTGGTACGAAACAAGTCTCTGCGATGCAGACGCTTTTTTCTCCTCCATCTTTGTTTGTACTCGATACGACCTTAGCCTCGTTTTGAGTTCGATATGCATATTCATGAAATCTCATTAAGAAAGGAGTATTAGCTATTAATAATTTTTTTCACTTAGTACATTCATAAAAAATATTATTATTTGAAATTATACAGATGTTCATTATTTTCATCATAAAAAATTGGCATTTCATATTCTTGAATTTTCATTTGAAATAATTTGTGAGCATCATGTATATTATCGTTATTGATTTTATATAGCAGGAAGAACATACTTTAGTAGCCTCTGTCATTTTCAGCAGTCCATTCTGAAGCAAGAGGTAGTCAACTACTAAGTAGCAGCTGTCTGCCCTTATCTTTGGGAAGATGGCCTCATTTGTTACGATTAAGTCATGCACACATCCAAAGTAGGTCTTGGCACACAAAATGCTTGCCTTGCCATAGATCCCTCCATCTTTGTATTTTCTAATTTCGATGTCTTCCAGGATGTAAATCTTCTGTGCAGTTGCAGACTGTATCTGGTCCTTTTAAAACAGTAACATGATAATGTTATCTCCTATACAAAGGTATATATATGCAGTCAAAGTTATATGAAGTAAACAATGATATAAAATTTAATATACTGTATGATTCCTTTGTAATGACTGTTAAAATTATATGATTTAGTAAGTCTGCAGCATTGATATCTTCTAATATTTCGTTACACTTAAGGTAAGGCAAATAAACAAATTTTGATAGGAATAATTTTAATGAGGAAATATACTTTTGATACGTTTAATATAGCAGATGCAATAATTTTCAGATTGTCCTTTAAATGTGAGTAATTGGACAAATCAGTTCTTTCAGATAGATCTAAACATGATTACATGTATTGATCTTTTGTGCGAAAACTGAGTCTTATTGTTGCCCAACCCCCCGAAAATCATAATTTGAAAAACGTTTGAATTTACACTACCTGAAGGTGCTTCCATATTAATATGACTACCTATAATTATGTCTTGCAAATGTTGAGAAGAAGATTTTGAATTTTTTTTCCCCTATTATTCCTATCACGTGAAACCATTAATCACTCATTGTGGCCCCACCCTATCCCGAAGTCATGATTTGAACAGAATTGAATTTACATAACTTGACAATGCTTGCATCATATCAGTATGACTTATCATACCTTTTCTGTTCTGGAGAAGAAGATTTTAATTTTTTTTTTCATACATTCCTATGTTAAACTATATGATCTTCTATTGTGGCCTCATCCTATCTCTGGGGATTATGATTTTAAAAACAAGAGGCCCAAGGGCATAGAATCACTCTTCAAATGAATTGTACAACCTTGTCACTTCCATTCTAAGCTTCTTATCAGTCAGGGGCATAATGCAAACAGGTTATTTTAAAAATAACTTAAATAAGTTATTTTACACACACGAGGAAATTTTTGAATAATAACTTAAATAAGTTACTATGATTTTAAGCCCATTATTATCCTAAATAATGGCAGTGTTTTCCCCAGGCCATTTTTGCATGGCGGGACCGCCATGCATTTCACGATCCCCCGCCATGCATCACATTTTGCCGCTATGCTTCCCGCTATGCATAAATCATTAATAGAATACCATACTTAGTAAGATAATTTATGTAAAATGTTATCAGTTATAAAATTCATAAACAAATCCTCGCATGTACAAGTTGCACACCTGTCGTGAATTCGAGTGCGTATCACGGCACGGGGTATGATGCTATAGCTGTCAATTTATGCTTAGCATGGTTACTGCAATTTATTGGTACTGTTCAGCTTTCATTTTTGATAAAAATGTTTATTACAAGGAAAAAATAATTAACTGCTGTCGGATAGTGCACACGGTCAAAGTAATACACTTGTAAATGCACATGTGGGTGTTTCCAACCTATACAGGTCATTCTAAAAATAGCATAAATGTTCCGACATTAGCACACAGCTGCAAAGATTCATTAGTCAAACACATAATTATTTAGCCATCATTCAGCATAAAAGGCAAGCTGAAATTAATGATAACAGAATTGTTTATTTACTCTGTGAGCTTTCGGTAAACACTTCGACGTAGCGCACGTGCTATACACGACATATTGATAATTCTGCAGATCAAAATTTTTTCTGCAAGAAAAAAAAACAAAAAAAACAAAAAACAACAGACACCAATGTAAATGCATTTTACAATGCGTTGTCATAATATTTTTTTAAGTTATCACGGGTGGTTGACAATGTGCACACTTTTGTTTGAATGATGACTGTAAAAGTAGGGACATCAAGAAAATGAACTACAGTTTACAAGTAGACCTAGACAGAATGCATAATACAACACATAACAAAACAAACAAACAATTAAAGTTCTACAGTGGGCCAGAAGGAAAAAAATTATGAGGAAAAATTGTGGGCTATATGATAATTTTTATTCATTTTTTCTTTAAAAGTTATTAACAACACATTAATCAATTTTTACCTGCACATTTTACATGTAATTTTAAAAGAATTTAAATGAAAAATGCATTTGTAAATTATGTTAAATATAGTATCTCAACTGATGTGTGCCATGCCGCGCGATGTGACGCGCTGTTGATTCAACAAAATTCCCCCCATGCATTAAAAATTTTCTGGGGAAAACACTGAATGGGAGAGAAGTGTGAAATTCTAAAAATAGGTCACTGTGAAGAAAGAAAAAAACATTGATTACTAGAGTCACCTTGGCTTGTACATTATATATTTTTCCATCTAAAAAAAAATCACTGCTAATGTTGTATTGCCCTAAGAAAAAGGTGTATTAACTAATTCAACTTCAACTCATACTACTTGGGGATGCTACCAAAATGGTAATCCGAGATTCCTCTGACTCTAACCCCTGCTTTTATATTGTGACTTGTGCAGGGGACGCCATATTGAAAACTGGGAATTTAGCGAAACTAACTGGTATCGCGACTCTGTCTACCTTTTACAACTTTATTTCGCGGAGCTAACTCCCGAGGCGCGAGAAATCAGTAAAAGAATTATTGTACTACATGTTAATCGTCAATAAAAGGATGCTTTCGCCGTTTAAACGGCCCTATCACCGACAAATGAAGCATCACTTTGAATTAGGTCGCCTCTTCGCCATTCGACTTCTTTGCGCATGACGTCAGCACACAAATACACAAAATTCCTGATGGGGTCAACCAACCACGTGACCAAAACACGATGCCCTGCTGGTACAGTCACATTTTCTTTTACCCAATTTGCGACAAGAATCACATGGTAAGTCACAATATAAAAGCAGGGGTTAGAGTCAGAGGAATCTCGGATTACCAAAATGGCGACTATATTGAAAGAGGTATACGCCTTTTATAACTCCGCCAGTAGGTCCAACTATCGTCTATCAAAGATTCTGATTTTCATCAAGATAACAAAGAACTGAAATAATTACCTGATACTTTGTTTTCTTTGACCCTAGTCGGATTTAGTTTACCATCCCGGACAGAGTAAAAACAAAAACTTCGTTTTGGTACCCACTTTGTTTTTTTTGTTTGTGGATCCATCGTGATCATCAACTTTCCGCAATAGATTTTACCAATACTACGCACGATGACAATTTGAGACAGAGGTTGCAAACGGGTTGGTCCATTACCAAAGGTACATGTAGTTTCAACAATATCTTGATGTCCTTTAGGTGGGCGATTTAGACTATATATATACATAACTCTTACACTATTGTTCGACTTAAACTATTTTAATAGAAACAATTGAGTAATATTGTTGTATTATTCTATTTTTACAAGATTTTTAAATTTTCAAATTTGCCT